AGTTGGGTAATTTCTATGTACAAAAATTGTTAAACGGCAAAGAAATGCCGTTTGTTATATTCTGTAATTACGGCAGTTTTTTTTCTTAATAATTTCAACTTGAGTCGTTGCGTTTTAAAACGTTATAGATTGTGCGACACTTCTGTACACACACAAAAAAATAAATAAAATGATTGCCCTTGATTTTCAGTATCGAGAAAAACACCACAAAAAAAAATTCACATATTTTTCAACAATTTCATATAGTGGAATTTTATCCAAAAATTAACTTCATGCTGCCTATAGTATTAATATGGTTTATTTCTTGTAACAAAAAACCTTATCGTACAGTTGTTTTCAGATCAGAAAACATATTATATGTGTACAGACAAATATTTTTCATAAAGCGACAATAAAATTTTATTTAATTTAAAAAAATGTAATTATAATAATTATCATAATATTGTTTTCTAGATATTTGTAGCTTATTGTCAAATGATTTCTTTAGAAAATACAAAAGCTGAATTTTCCTAGTGAGTATTTAAATTAAATACCTCATTTGTTTATTTTTTTCAAATAGCCTTTATTCAAATAAAATATTTAGCTCGACAATTAAATTTTGAAAAATACCTCATCTTAAGTGCAGTGGGTAAGCTTTTATGTATTTATATGTTAAAACAAATGGTATTTATTTTGACCAGCGTTAGCGGGGTTTCTTTTCACTCGGCCCCTGAAAATAAATAATTATTATTCTTAAAAATATATTTTATTTGCTTGGTACGATTTGAAAAAATATAAATATTGATGATTTCTTGGTAGTGTAATTGGTGGATTATAATATGGACTAATGTCGCTGTATATTCATTAAAGCATTCAATTAAATTATATGAGTAAAATTGTATACAGCTATGAAAGAACCATAAAACATCAAATTTAAAACCGAATTCCCAAAATTAAAAGCACTATCAACTAAATATTCGTATTTAAACTATTTAATATGATAATATTTAATTCAGTAATGACCTCTTCAGCTTCCTCTATTTCACTCGACCCCTGAAAATAAATAATTATTATTTTTAAAATATATTTTATTTGTTTAACTATGATTTGAAAAAGTATAAATATTGATGATTTCTTGGTAGTTTATTTGGTGTGTTCAAATATGGACTAATGTCGCTGTATATTCATTAAAGCATTCAATTAAATTATATGAGTAAAATTGTATACAGCTATGAAAGAACCATAAAACATCAAATTTAAAACCGAATTCCCAAAATTAAAAGCACTATCAACTAAATATTCGTATGTAAACCATTTAATATGGTAATATATTAATTCAGTAATGACCTCTTCAGCTTCCTTTTGCTCGTGCAGTACAAATGCCGACATCAAGAACTCGGCAATGTTCAAATATGAGTCGCCTAAAAAGAATAATACATTTTTAGTCAAGAAGTTAATTTTAGTTTGTCTCTTAGATCCGTGTTAACGCTATATAATTTCTAATATTACCATCGACATCGAATTGGTCGAAGTTAAAATGTCTCTTTCCAACTCCTTTGAGTTCGGTCTTACTGAGTAAACCGTCTCGGTCGCGGTCGTTATTATTGAAATCCCATAGGACATCTCTAACTGAATCGGTAGGATATACGGTTTCAGTCTGAGAAACAAACAATAAGTACCTCTTAAGATTTGAATTGGTCAATGACAAAAAATGTAATTGCGATAAGGACTCTATCTTTAATTGCTGTATCACTAAGTGTACACTACATAGTTTAAGCTCTCAATTAAGATAACCTAACCTACACTTTACTTGTGTAATAAATGGGTGGGTGCATCTTTGTAAAAGCATACAAAAGGCAATTTAAAAAAAAACCATTAATATATTACTTGCTCGTCGGCCACTTTGTTGTATTCTGCTAAAACTAACAACAGCTCTTGCAACTGAAAAGGAGCCTTTCCTATAACCAAAATAGTAAATATATATTTTATTTTTTATTAATAAATATGAATAATATCGATAAAAAATAATTGTAACTTCAAAAATATTATATTCTTACGGATGGATTGAAATTCCAACAGTCGGTCTTCGTATTCTTCTTTGACTATCGACAACTCTTGGAAAAACTTTTTTATTTCAGCAGGGTGAATGTGATCGCCAAGTCTATCGCCATTCATATACAAATCGATCATGTCCTGACTCTGTTTCTTGTTAAGACCTCTGCCCTAAGTACATAATCATATTATGTATTTAAATGCAATAACAATAGTTGTTTGAGTGTTTTGTTTGTCAGGCCTTCAACGAAATCAAAAATACTTACGTTTGGTTTTACTTCCAAGAAGCCCTTTATGAACTCCGAGGCGTTAAATGTCTTGTCAGCTGGAAAAATATTTTCAGCCAAGTCTGCAACCACGAAAGAGCATTTTCATGTCTCGTTGAAGTACCGAATAAATTTAGAATATTGGTGGAATAATAGCTAATCATATAGTATATTAAGAAGCAGTAACAAGCTAGTATAATAAAACATCAAGTTTCCGGCTAATATTGTAGTGTTTAATATCTGGCTAAAAACAATTCATAGAGAATTTGGGCTCTTAAATAATTTTGATTTTATCATTTAGTCCTAATTTGAACGTTGAACGTACAACATATCTCTTATCTCCTATATCTTACCCTTATCTCTTACTCCTATATCTTACCCCCTATCTCATATATCTTACCCCCCCCCCGACCCCATTCCCACCGCCAAACCCATCTTCATCCACATCCCATCCCCATTCCTTCACCCAACACCATTCCCTAACACATGAAAATGTCAAAATTAATTAAAATTATTATCAACCCGAGGAATATAATTAACACTGCTCGGTTCGTTAACCTTTATTAAATTTTTCTGATAATGATTTTCTGAAGTCTTCTTCGAGAATCAAAGCGTCAATGACTTCATTTATTTGGTCGGAGTTCAGTAGCCCACCGTGTTGGCTCCTGCGGTCGCATTCGTTGAACGCGCCCACGTAAATGCCTACCTCGTAAGACGCTAATCTTGATAGCTATGTAAAAAAAAAAGAAAGAAAAAAACATAGGAAATAAGAAAGTAAAATTAATTTGAAATTGTTCATTAATTATTTTTTTTGGAGTTATTACGTTCCAGTTGTCAAAAAATTTATCGTTACTGGCCAGAAACACCAAAAAGTCTTGTAATGTTCGAGCATCGATCATATCTAAAAATAAAACCAAAAAATATTTCAACACTTAATTGTTTTTATTTTTTTTTTGTAGCGATCATTATGGTTATTGATAATATTTTACAGATTTTCGAGCGGTATTATATTTGTTATATTGTTTAAAAAAGTAAAAACCTGATATTATCAGCTATCAAATCATTTTTTTTTTTTTACTCATTTTCAACACATTTTATTTACAGTTTAAAACCTAAATATATTTATTTCAGCTTTTAGAATCAGATCATGTCTATCAGAATATTGTATTAATATTCATAGGCTAATGAAGTGATGTAAATGAAATGGCGGACAAAAAGAAGGCGTTTTTGAAAAATAAAGAATAACCATTATGTTTATTGAACTAAAATAAACTGTAGATTTTTATTATTAAACTTGTACTATTGAATACGGATTACACTTTTAAAATAATACTCAACTTTAAAGAATTTCTGTAACTTTAAGAGGTTCTGCTATATTAATACCAATATAATACTACATTCCAAACTGTTATGAAATATGCTACACTACAAGGCAGTGTATCTTTAAAGATATAAATTATGTCAAATTAGCTCCACGTGGCAGTGTTGAAATATTGTTTTTTAAACACTGGAAAGACGGATATTGTTTTTTACAGACAATTTCTTTAAGTGTGTGTGTGGGGGGGGGGGGGCAACATTTGATTACAGCCTAAAAGTTTAAGACCAATTTAAAAGATACTCTGTACTACCTTGTTGGTATTCAAAATGTGAAATATCGTGCACGCCAACTTTTTTGCCCATATTCACGAAAAGTTCCTCGACAATATAACAACTGGTAATTCTTGTAACGTAATTCTTGTACATACAGTCTATGTATGGTTTGTGGTCCGTAAAAAATAGAACAAGCTTACCGAGTTGATTCTTATCGAGTCCCATGCTCTATAAAGTATCACAATTACAGTGATAATAATATTACATACATTTTTTTAATTAATATGCAGTTTTACCTGAGTCACGGTCACCGAGTACAACGCGCAAAGGACAACAGCAAATTTCAAATGCATAACGGTCGTTTTACTTTTATTTTTTGCAAACACTTTGCTGAACCAAAAGTAAGCGACTTTAGTGTCAAAGTCGGATGAACAATGGCGTTGGATTCGACTCGACGTGTCTTTTGTGCGGCGCGATTGTCAAAAACAACTTAAGTATAGAAATGGAAAATATTGGTAGGTAGTGGTTTTTCGTTTTGTACACGCAAGAGTTGTTTTCGACTCAAAAGCAGAAAAATACTGCATATTTACTTATGCGAAATCGAACAACAATATATTTCTATTTGCCATTGCCATCGCACAAAAACAATATGGCGAAGACGAATTTTATGAAATGTTCGTATTATTAAAATAATATTATTCGTTTAAATAGCAGAAAAAAATAGTTGCCTATTTTTTGCGATACAGCTGCGATGGATGGCGATACACAAATAATAAAATATACCTCTCATGTTAAAATATATAGTCAATGGGCAGATTGTGAAATTTTGTACTTACATTTTTTTTTGTAACAGTGTATCATTTAAAAATTATCTTTAATGTAATTTAGTTGATGCAAAAAAAAAAAGAAAAGGGTATCCCTGTATCAGTAAAAAATTCCAAAATTATATAAAAGTACCAAAAACTGTTTTCAAAATAGCCAAAATTCAAATGTCATGACAATATGTGCAGTTGTAGAATAGAAACTCTTCTATCTTTTGGACATGATGGTAGAAATAGAATTGAGTGCAAATTAATAGTGAAACTATAATAACTTACTTACATATACATATATCAATCAAAAAAGGTAAAAAAAAACAGTATTATAAAAAAAAGTCTTGTTGAACCAATTAATTCTTCAGGACTGAACTCGAGTAGTCAGATAGGCCTCTTAGATTTGCAAAACCTAACTAAAAGAGGAAGCCACGATGATAAAAAATGAGACTGATTTTCCATCTCAAGGGTCATTTAAAAAGATTATATTAGTTTATATTAGTCTTACAACTATGGCTGAGTCGATGTCACTCATTTGTGATAACTGGAGTTCTGATAAAATAACAACGAGAAATTCATCTTTGGTCGATACCAATAATGCTTCGTTGAAAACGTTATAAATACTTTCTTTAATTGGATCAATTAAAGTGGTTCGTCTAGTATGGATAGTTGTTTCTCAAAAACATAAAGTATAACCCACATGTAACAATAGATCCTAGCTTGGATAATTTTGATCAACAAGTGTTGGTGATCGTGGCGACCGTACGGTTGGCAAATTCAAGTGCGATTTTTCACAAATGCTCTGGTAACGACCACCTCGTCCCAATGTCGTTTCACTATTTTGCTTCAAAATAAAATAAACTTAATTTCATTATGACGTAGTTGTTAAATAAAGTTTATTTAGATTATATTGTCTGACAATGTATTATTATGACTAAAATAACAGAAACTTCTCATTTGTTCAAACAAATATTCTTAGTTGTATGTGTACGTTAAAAAAATAACATAATATATTAATGTATTTTGAAGAGGCTTCTCTATCATTATAAAACATTTAAAAGGAAGTAATAATTTGTATTTTGTACAACTTCTATCAACCGCAAAATATAAGATAGAATTTTATTTCTCAACAAAAAAATAGCTCTAAATAAATGCTTACCTTGCTGTTGCCTGCTGATTCGAATGTTTTTCAATTAAACGTTATAGCAAAATAACATAACAAAAATGCAAAAATGTTCCTAATCATAGTTATTTATAATATTTTTAACTATACTTTGGTAAAATACAAGTCCTTCGTATGATATTGTGTAGCTTATACTAAACTATTAAAACTGCAAGACGATAGATGGCCGCTAAATTTTACCTTGTAATAATTTGTAAAAAATTAAATACAAATTATATTTTTTAATTTATTTTGAAAACACTTGTTCACAAAAATGGTATTTTTCGGTCTACCGAATCACATTCTGTCTAAATAATATTTCGTACGAATGTCTACAATTTAACTTCTTATTAAAAATGTATAACAAAGCCTTAATTTCAAGTTGAATAATGTGTTCACATATTGTGGTTGTTAACCTCGATTTTGGAGGAAACGTTTTTATTTTTTTTATTTTTTACACAATTTAGGTACTCTCAAGAATGTGAGCATTAGTATATTTTTGATTTTACCTATTGGAGTAGTGTGGAATTTATTAAATACCTAAAAAAAATTGGAAACACGGATTTTATTTTTTATTAAAAAAAGTTTTTTAGCCGAGTCTGCAACCAAGAATGAGCATTTTCATGTCTCGTTGAAATACCGAATAAATTTAGAGTAGTGGTGAATTTATAGATAATGATATAGTATTTTAAGAAGCAGCAACAAGCTAGTATATTAAAACATCAAGTTTCTGGCAAATATTGTAGAGTTTAATATCTGGCTTAAAAAAATTCGACCTGTTAACCTATTTCGAATTTATCATTTAGTTCTAATTTGAACGTTGAACGTACAACATATCTCTTATCTCATATCAGATAATAGCGCAACGCTTTTTTCGTTATAATTTTTTCGGTTATGTGCCAGAGCTAAGACATCAAAATGTCAAAAAATTGTTAATACTTATATTTGTATAACATTATATTAAAATACTTGTTAAAAATTATTATATAAAAATCACTATTAGTGATCTAACCAATAGAATAACCAGTAAAACAGTAAATGGCACTTAGACAATATAGTTGCTCCTGTAATACCAATATAAGAAAAAACAAATGAGATAAATATTGGTAATCTTCTTTGCAGTTGTATTTGTCAAAATTGCCAAAAAAATATATATATAATAATTTGTTTAAAATCTAAATATTAGTCTTACAATTGTGGGTTTTTTTTTTGTGTCTGTAAACAAATAATATTTTTCTTAACTAAAAAGAATTAATGAAATATTAGTTTTGCCCTTACTAGTGTTTAGATAGTTTGAATATTGAAAAATTCATTTTTTTTTTTACTCACTTTTATTATACATAACTTAATTAATAAACATTATGTTATTGATTTAAAATTTAAATATATTGAGCAGCCGACATTTTAACCATATCCATAAAATGCAAAAGCGTTTCATATTTGAACGGGAAACAGTAGCTTTTTAATTCGTTTAAATAGAATTTGAAATCTGAAATGATTGTCTTTATCATGCTGTCGTTAGAAAGTTGACCTTCGTTAACGTTGAAACTGAGCCAATCGATTTCGTTTGTGTTTGTACTGTTTAAATCGTTTAAGATCCCATTGGCCTTTGCCCTAACACTTGCTAATATGCCTTTTATGACGTCGGTATCCCTCATTTGCGAAAAGTCGAGTTCTGATGAAATTACCACTAGAAATTCTTCTTTGATCGATACATTGAATGCTTCATTGAAAACGTCGAAAATCAGTTCTATGATTTCTTCTAGCGTCGGTTCGTTGAGTATAGGTAATTGTTTTTCATATACATATAGTATAACCGAAATGTAGCAATAAAACGTAGCGTCGATAATTTTGACCAACAAGTGTTGGTGATCGAGCCGACCGTACGGATTGGAAATCCAAGTGCGATTTTCCACGAATTCTCTGGTAATAACCACCTCGACCCGATGTCGTTGTCTCACCCTACTCCAATCGACATTGAACCCCTGGGTGATGGTCCCTCCTCTGAACAACAATTGTCTTCCGTCTTCCCAAAACGGTTTCAGGTATAAAATGTCTATTAGTCCATTATAATTACGGTCGAGTGGATGCGAAGCAATCAAGTTTTTAAACCATCTGGAACTACTTAGATCGGTAAACATCTTATCGTATTTACTCTGGTTTTTCCTTACAAAATCAGGTTCCATTACAGTCGGAGGTAGGTATTTTTTAGCTATACAATTTCCAATGAAATCTGAGAAACCGGTTTGCAGTTGGTCGTCTTCGAAAGGGTTTTCGTGGATATAGAGTTTATTGTCATCGTACTGTCTGATGGCAATGATTTTCAAAAAATAACTCCAAAGCCATTTGCCCATTTGTAAATATCCAGCCGGAAATAGTAGAAATATCAATTCGGCTTCCATTTTCAGACGTTTTATAACATTCTCGCTTCTATTGAAAGGTTCTCCGTTTTTTATCTTTTCAACAAAGTTCTTCAACCACAATATGTTTGATCGTGCAATCACACATACACTACACATGATGTCCCGACCTTTTTCCTCCAATTTATCCCGGCTTTTTAATTTTGTATGGTATTCATCAATGCTGCCACAAATACTTGTTGACAGATTTCGCTCGTCTTCTCGTGTGATTTCAATTTTTGGACGTTTGTTGAATGTTTTCACATTGTTTACGGCACGCAAATAGTATTTATGGGATGTTTGAATGAAAAATCTCGTAGGATTGATCTAAAAAAAGAAAAGTTTATTTTATATGCGTAAATAGGTATAATGTCTTAAAGAAAATAATAATTTTTAAATTGTTCAACTTCTATCAACCGCAAAACATAGGATCAAATTTTTTTCACAGCATATCATTAGCTCTAAATAAATGCTTACCTTGCTGTTGCCTGCTGTTTCGATTGTTGTTAAATTTGACGTAATAACAAAACAACATAACAAAAATGCAAAAATGTTGCTAATCATAGTCATTTATTATTTATTTAATTATACTTTAGTAAAATACAAGTCATTCGTATGAAACTGTGTAACTTATAATTGACTATTATAATTGTAAGACTTTAGGCGGCTGTTAAAATTTACATTTGTATAAATCGTAAAAAAGTAAATAAATCTAATTTTTTATTTATTTTGATAACACTTGTTCACACAAATAGTATTTTCGGTCTGCTGACTGACTCATGGTGACGCTCTTTCTAAATACAATTTTGTTAAAATGTCTACAATTTAACTTCTTATAAACAAATTATAACAAAGCCTTAATTTTATGTTGAATAATATTGAAATTTTAGTGAATTATTTATGATTTTAACACAATAAAGTACTCTTTATCTATTTTTGTGTGCCCTTAATACATTACAATAACTTAAAAATCGATGGTTTTGAATTATTATTTTATCTTAAGTTGGTAATATGCTCTATTATTTGTAGTATTTGTGTACACAGACGTATGAATGTTTGTTTTTCAACTGCTTCATTCCTGAACTATTGTCATCATACACCTCCTTCACTCATTTTGTCCAGCTTTTTGAAATATTAGCGATTTTACTCATCGATAGGTTTATTAATACAGATTTTAAAATAATTTCACTAAAAAAAAATACTGCTTCATACTTACATATGTAAGGTAAATTATTCATAAAACGAAGTTATTACATTTTTAATAAAACCCATAGAAACAAAATACACACAATGACTATGTGTATTTTGCCAGCAGTTGGTCTTGTGGATTTTTTTTATATCAGTCGATTATAATATATGAAATATGAAACTATTGTGATTACTCGAAAATTTCTTAATATGTCCTTACGAGAAGCGAGCAGAGAATTAATTGGTTCTAAAGACAAGTGTTTGTAAAGGGATAATACAAAAATGAAGTAAATCGGGCTATACAATTGATTTTATGGTTCCATTTTTAAAAATTAAATGAAATTGTGTTGTTTGAAAAATTAAAGTTAAACAGGATTTTTAAAAATTAGGTAAAAAAACGTCCATAAATAAAATATGATTTTTTAAAAGTCGACACTAAAACGTTTGCTTAAACATTTATTTTGTTCTATTTTAGAAAAACGAATTATTTTTTAACTTTGATGTGAAGCTGAGAAGGTATTGATTCTACAGTGATGTGTTGGCTCCCCTAGTTCTTGTCAAAACTTTGAGGATTAGTATTTTTAGGTAAAATAAATACCTAAAATTAGTGTAGTGTGTAATTTATTTAAATACCTTTAAAAAATCGGAAAAACAGATTTTGTTTATTTTGCAAAAAATTGTTAATATTTTTATTTGTATAACATGATACGACTGCCTTCTTTGCAGTTGTAAATGTATAAAATGTCAAAAAAAAAATGTATTTATTTATTTTGTTACATACTAAACATTATTTTGGCTTCGATGCGGAACTGAGAAGGTGTTTGTTTTACAATGATGTGATAAAATAAAGTAATTCATGTATGGACAATAATTACAAACTTTATATGCTATTGATAACGTTATGTGGTAGCTCATATAATTTAAATTATGTTAAATAGTTTAAAAAGTATCTGGAATGACACTTGTTACAAAAAATGCAATTAATTTTTAATCAATTTTTTTTCGTATAAATTCTTAAACTAATTAATTAATAAACACTGTGTTGTTGATTTAAAATTTAAATATATTGAGCAGCCGACACTTTAACCATATCCATAAAATTCAAAAGCGTGTTATATTCGTATGGAGAGCAGTAGATTTTTAAATCGTTTAAATAGAAGTGGAAATCCATAATGATTATCTTTATCAATCTGGCGGTCGTTAGCTGGCCTTCGTTGACGTTAAATCTGAGCCAATCGATTTCGTTTGTGTTTGTACCGTTAACACTTTCGCTATTAATGAAAGGTTCGCCGTTTTTTTAATTTTTCAACAAAGTTCTTCAACCACAATGTGTTTGATTGTGCAAACTACAAATGATGTCCCGACCTTTTTTCTCTTATTTATCCCGGCTGTTTAATTTTAAATGGTATTCTTCAGCACTGCCAATAGCATTTGTTGACAAATTTTTCTCGTCTTCTTCTGTAAATTTTTGCTATTTTTGGTCGTTTTTTGAATGTTTTCACATTATTTACAGCACGTAAATAGTTATAATGGTTTGGTGTAATAAAAAATCGTGTAGGATAAATCTAGAAAAATGTATAAATTTGTATAATTAAAAAAAAATTATTAAATATAAATTGCGTACAGATATAATTGTTTTATGATAACTTAAATTACAAATGTCAGTTTTTGATTGGAAGTTATGAAGATATTGTCTACTATGACTACTAATATACTTCCATAGCAATACAGAATTTATTATAGTTAGTATAATAAAAAAGATCTAAATTTCAGTATGATGCAGCTGTAAAATATAGTTTATTTTGATTATTTTTTAAGGAATTGTATTAATATGACTAAAGTCACAGAAACTTCTCATTTGTTCAAATAAATATTCTTAGTTACATATATATCTTATATTATTATACATATTAGAAACTTCCTTTTTAAACGAAAGTAATAATTTTTAAATTATTCAACTTCTATCAACCGCAAAACATAGGATCAAATTTATTTCACAGCATAGTAATAGCTCTAAATAAATGCTTACCTTGCTGTTGCCTGCTGATTAGAATGTTTTTAAATTTAACGTTACAACAAAACAACATAACAAGAATGTAAAAATGTTCCTAATCATAGTTATTTATAATTTTTTTAATTGTACTTTGGCAAAATACAAGTCATTCGTATGGTACTGTACAACCTATACTAAACTGTTATAATTGCAAGACATAAGGCGGCCGCTAAATTTTACATTGTAATAAATCGTAAAAAAGTAAATATATGTATTTTTAAGACTATTTTGAAAACGCTTGTTCACACAAATGGTATTTTTCGATCTGCCCACGTATGGTGTTCGTACTCTGTCTAAATAATATTTTGTAAAAATGTCTACAATTTAGCTTCTTATAAAAAATGTGTATCTTAATTTTAAGTTTAATATATTGAAATTTTAGTGAACTTTTAGTGTTTTGAATGCTATAAAGTAATCACATATGTATTTGTGCGCACTTTATACATAACAACAACATAAAAATCGATGGTTTTGAATTATTATTATATCTTAAGTTGGCAATATTATCTACTTGTAGTATTTGTGTACACATACGTATGAATATTTGATTTTCAACAGCTAATTTTTTTGACCTATATCAAAATAGGAAAAACATATTTTGTTTTTTATAAATAAAATTGTTAATATTTATATTTGTATAATATTTTATGAGAGTTCTTGTTGAAATTGATTATATAAAAATCACTATAAGTGATCTAACCAATGCAATAACCAGTAAAACAGTAAATGACACTAATTCAATAACTTATTTATCTAGAACCTATTTACTCAAATCGGTGAAACTGTTTAAAAAGCATAAGTAAATCATTTAACTTTTAATTATTATTCAGTGATACTTTTCAAAAAAATAAAACAACAATTTTGAATATTTTTATTTTATCACACAACATTGATTACAGCATAAAATATAAACATTATGTTATTAATATGTTTATTTTTAAATTATAACATAAAAATACTACATAAGATGTAATTCATTTTTAAGATTTTTTCTTAAAATGTATTAAACCTAATTTAATTAATGAACATTGTGTTATTGATTTAAAATTTAAATATATTGAGCGGCTGTCAATTAAACTACATCCATAAAATGCAAAAGCGTTTTATGTTCGAACGGGAAGTAGTAGCTATTTAATTCGTTTAAATAGGATTGGAAATCTAAAATGATTGTCTTTATCAAGCTGTCGTTCGAAAGTTGACCTTCGTTAACGTTAAAACTGAACCAATCGATTCCATTTGTGTTAGAACCGTTTAAATCGTTCAGGATCCCATTGGCCTTTGCCCTCACACTTGCTAATACGCCTTTTACGACGTCGATATTCCTCACTTGTAAAAAGACGAGTTCTGATGAAATATCCAATAGGAATTCTTCTTTGATTGACATATTCAATGCTTTAACGATAACGTCGTTAATAAGTTTTTTTATTTCTTTTAGCGTCGGTTCGTTGAGTATAGGTAAGAGTTTTTCATAAACATATATTATAACCGAAATGTAGCAATAAAACGTAGCGTCGATAATTTTGATCAACAAGTGTTGGTGATCGAGCCGACCGTACGGATTGGAAATCCAAGTGCGATTTTCTACAAATGTTCTGGTTATAACCATTCGTTCCGATGTCGTTGTCTCACCCTACTCCAATCGACATTGAACCCCTGGGTGATGGTCCCTCCTCTGAACAACAATTGTCTTTCGTCTTCCCAAAATGGTTTCAGATATAAAACGTCTATCAGTGCGTTGTAATTACGGTCGAGTGGACCTAAAGCATTCGAGTTTCTAAACCATCTGGAACTACTTAGATCGGTAAACATTTTATCGGATTTTCTCTTGTTTTTCGTAACAAAATCAGGTTCCATTACAGTCGGTGGTAGGTATTTTTCAGCGATACAATTTTCGATGAAATCTGAAACACCGTGTGGCATTTGGTCGTCTTCGAAAGGGTTTTCGTGGATATAGAGTTTATTGTCATCGTACTGTCTGATGGCGACGATTTTCATAATATAACTCCAAAGCCATTTGCCCATTTGTAAATCTCCAACCGGAAATAATACAACCATCAATTCGGCTTCCATTTTTAGACGTTCTATAACAGGCAAGCTATTTCTGAAAGGTTCTCCGTTTTTTAACTTTTCAACAAAGTTCTTCAACCACAATATGTTTGTTTGTGCAATCACAGAAAAGCTGCATTTGATGTCCCGCCCTTTTTTCTCTAATTTTTCGTGACTTTTTAATTTTGCATGGTATTCTTGTATACTGCCACAAAAACTTGTTGACAGATTTACCTCGTCTTCTTGTGTGATAACAATTTTTGGACGTTTATTGAACGTTTCTACATTGTTTACGGCACGTAAATAGTTTCTATGAGTTGTTGGAACGATAAATCGTGTAGGATATATCTAGAATAATTTATAATTTTATACAATTAAAAAAGTAACTAAAAAAATAATATGCATGTTACCAACTACACGAGGATGAAGTAAAACTTCTCTCAGAGTCATTCAACCGATAGAGCTTGAGGTTTGCTTTGCAATAGAATAAATAAATATACTTAAAAATGTTATTTTCAGTTTAAATTTATTTAACCTAATAATATTATTATTTTATTATGCATTAGTTTACAAATTAATTATACCATATTTACATGTTGTGATAATTTTCTGATTCTACGATCATGACGGATGTAATTGGTTTATGATGACAGAAATTACTTATATAAGTTTTTGGTTGCATGTTATGAAGTTATCGTCTGCTATGACTAAATAAATATTTCCATAGCAATTTAAAATATATAGTTTGTGTCACTCGACGATAAATTAAGATAGTATTAACAGCTCAATGTTGGAATCTTTCACTATGACGTATTCTAATGGTAAACATCAGCCTATTAGCTGTTAGTCTCTTGTTCATACAACTCTCAAAAACATATTTATTATAATTTCAATTTAATATGAGTTAAAAGCCCTTTGTTAGAGATTACACATAGATTTAAACAAACAAACCATTCGAATCATTTACCACAATGTGAGACAACGCGCACGCGCAACTAAAAACGGTCGCGACTGCCAACCTTAACCACAGACGACAATCTTTTTTTTTTTGTAACCTCTGTAATGAAGTTTCACTTCAATAAAAAAATTTGATAATTCTTATTGAACTATTTAAAACCAAAAACCGAACTTAATCATCATTGAAACAATCAACGATTTATTCAATGAGTATTTTGCTTCAAAGTAAAATAATGCTGCTCTCAAATAAATATTTAAATACAATTAATAAAATGCAAAATATAAGATCGAAATTATTTCACAGCATAAATAATAGCTCTCTAAATAAAATGCTTACCTTGCTGTTGCCTGCTGATTCGATTGTTTTTAAATTTAACGTTAAAGCAAAACAACATAACAAAACTGCAAAAATGTTCTTAATCATAGTTATTTATAATATAAATAATTATAATTTGCAAAATACAAGTCATTCGTATGATACTGTTTAACTTATACTAAACTATTATAAATGCAAGACGTTAGGCGGCCCCTAAATTTTACATTGTAATAAATCGTAAAAAAGTAAATAAATCTACTTTTTTTTATTTATTTTGAAAACACTTATTCACACAAATGGTATATTTCGGTCTACCAACGTATGGTGTGATCATAGTCTAAATAATATTTTGTACAAATTTCTACAATTTAACTTCTTATGAACAATTTATAACAAAGCCTTAATTTTATGTTGAATAATATTGAAATTTTAGTGAATTATTTATGATTTTAACACAATAAAATACTCTTTATCTGTTTTTGTGCGCACATTATACATTACAATAACTTAAAAATCGACGGTTTTGAATTTGTATTAAATCTTAAGTTGACAATATTCTCCATTTTTATTGTAGTATTTGTGTACACAGATGTATGAATATTTGTTTGTTTTTCAACTGCTTAATTTCTGTGCGTCATCGTACACCTCCTTCACTGATGTCGTCCAGCTTTTTAAAAAATTAGCGATTTTACATTGTATATATGAATACTGATTATAAAATAATTCCAATACAACAAGTATGAAGTAAATTATGCTGTACAATTGATTTTATATTCCCATTTTTTTTAATATTAAATTTAATTGTGTTGTTGAGAAAATAAAATTCAGACATATGATTATTACAAATTAGGTGAAAAATGTCCATAACTCATGATTTTTAATAAATCAACACTAAAACATTTTATTAAAAAATTCTTTTATTCTATTTTAGAAAAACGAATTATTATTTAGCTTCGTTGTGAAACTGAGAGACTTCATCGAGACTTACCAAACGGGGATACTCTATTTTATAATAGATTCTTTTACACCTTTGAGTTTGCCGTTATTATGCAGAATTTATGTAAATTATATTAACTCCATGTTATTGTTTTCTTGGTGTAAGAATTGCTGCCTATACCTCGCTTCTCAAAAGTCTTGTCAAGAAAAACGGAAACGGATTTAGTTTTATAAGTAAAAAAATTGTTAAAATTTATATTAAAGTTTTGGTTAAAATTGATTGTATAAAAAACACTACAAGCGTTTTAACCAATACAATAACCAGTACAACAGTAAATGACACTTATTCAATAACTTGTTTTTCTAGAGACGATTTACTCGAGTAGGTAAAACTGTTAAAAAAGCATAAGAGAATTATTTAATTTTAAATTTTTATTCAGTGATACTTTTCAAAAAAATGAAACAATAATTTTGAATATTTTTCTTTTATTACACAACATTGACTACAACATAAAATACAAACATTGTGTTATTAATAAAATGTCTTTTTTATTAAATGTACTATAATTATTATAAAATAAAATTATTCATGTCCATACATGAATCCAATTATTACAAACATATTATGCTCTAGATAACATTATGCGGCGGCTCAAATAATTTTAATTATATTAAATAGTTTTAAATATATCATTAGTAAATATTTTAAATTTAATAATTATCCGGAATCACACTTGTTACAAAAAATACAATTAATTTTTAAGATTTTTTGAATAGTTTAACACACCAACTTAATTAATGAACATTGTGTTATTGATTTAGTATTTAAATATATTGAGCAGCCGAAAATTTAACTACATCCGAAAAATGCAAAAGTATTTCATATTTAAACGGTAAGAAGTATCTTTTTAATTCGTTTAAATAGAATTCGAAATCTGAAATGATTATCTTTATCAAGCTGTCGTTAGAAAGTTGACCTTCATCAATGGTGAAACTGAGCCAATCGATTTCGTTTGTATTGGCACCGTTCAAATCGTTTAGGATCCCATTGGCCTTTGCCCTCACACTTGCTAATATGCCTTTTATGACGTCGATATCCCTCATTTGTGAACAGTCGAGCTCTGAAAAAATAACTAACAGAAATTCTTCTTTGATCGATACATACAATGCTTCATTGATAACGTCGATAATCAGTTCTTTGATTTCTTCTAGCGTCGGTTCGTTGAGTATAGATAATTGTTTTTCATAAATATATATTATAACCGAAATGTAGCAATAATATGTAGCGTCGATAATTTTGATCAACAAGTGTTGGTGATCCAGCCGACCGTACGGATTGGAAATCCAAGTGCGATTTTCCACGAATTCTCTGGTAATAACCACTTCGTTCCGATGTCGTTGTCTCACCCTACTCCAATCGACATTGAACCCCTGGGCAATGGTCCCTCCTCTGAACAACAATTGTCTTCCGTCTTCCCAAAACGGTTTCAGATATAAAATGTCTATTAGTCCATTATAATTACGGTCGAGCGGATGCGAAGCAATCAAGTTTTTAAACCATCTGGAATCACTTAGATCGGTGAACATCTTTTTGTATTTACTCTCGTTTTTTGTAACAAAATCGGGATCCATTGCAGCCGGAGGTAGGTAATTTTCAGCTATACAATTTTCAATGAAATCTGAGAAACCGGTTTGCATTTGTTCGTCTTCGAAAGGGTTCCCGTGGATATAGAGTTTATTGTCATCGTACTGTCTGATGGCTACTATTTTCAAAAAATAACTCCAAAGCCATTTGCCCATTTGTAAATCTCCGACGGGAAACAGTACCACTATCATTTCAGCTTCGTTTTTTAGACGTTTCACAAAATTCTCGTTATTAATAAAAGGTTCTCCGTTTGTTATCTTTTCAACGAAGTTCTTCAACCACAATACGTTTGATTGTGCAAACACACAAAAACTACATATGATGTCTCGACCTTTTTTCTCTAATTTATCCCGGCTTTTTAGTTTTAAATGGTATTCATCAATACTTCTACAAACACTTGTTGTCAGATTTCGCTCGTCTTCTCGTGTGATGTCAATTTTTGGACGTTTTTTTAATGTTTTCACATTATTTACGGCACGTAATAAGTTTTTATGAGTTATTTGAACGAAAAATCGTGTAGGACAAATCTAAAATGATTTATAAATTTATATGATTAAAAAAAGGTAATTCAAAAATACAATGCGTGTTAGGAGTACGCGCGGAAATAAAAAAAATTGAATAATTCTTATTAAACTATTTAAAACCAAAAATACTACTTAATCATCCTAGAAACAATCAATGATTTGTTCAATAACTGTTTTGTTTCAAAATATATAAAGTTAAGTATGATACTCCTCTTAAGTAAATATTTAAAAAGAAAATTAATATAGTTTATTTTGATTATTTAGCCTGAAATTGTATTATTATGACTAAACTCACAGAAACTTCTTATTTGTTCAAATAAATATTCTTAGTTACATGTGTATTTTAACAAAAGAACATTTATAACTTATATTATTATACTTATTAGAAGCTTCCTTTTTAAACGAAAGTAATAATTTTTAAATTGCTTAACTTCTATCAACCGCAAAACATAGGATCAAATTTATTTCACAGCATAGTAATAGCTCTAAATAAATGCTTACCTTGCTGTTGCCTGCTGATTCGATTGTTTTTAAATTTAACGTTGTAGCAAAACAACATAACAAGAATGTAAAAATGTTCCTAATCATAGTTATTTATAATTTTTTTAATTGTACTTTGGTAAAATACAAGTCATTCGTATGATATTGTGTAACTTATAATAAACTATTATAATTGTAAGATGTTAGGTGGCCGCTCAAATTTAATATATTTATTATTTGAAAACACTTGTTCACACAAAAGGTGTTTTTCGGTCTGCTGACTCATGGTCATGACCAATCTGTCTAAATAATATTTTGTAAAAATGTCTACAATTTAGCTTCTTATAAAACGTTTATAACAAAGCCTTAATTTTAAGTAGAATAATATTAATTCACTCTAAATCATTTGCTTAAAAACTATTTTTATACTATTTTAGAAAATATTATAAAATTGTGAGGCTATGTAGGTATTGAATCTACAGCGATGTGCTTGTTTTTTGTGTCTGTAAACATGTTATTATTTTTGGTCTCCCCTCGCCACCCTATCTATCACATGGAGAATTACCAGACGGGCATACCCTATTTTATAATAGATTTTCGTACACCTTTGAGTTTGCCGTTATTATGAAGAATGTTTGTAAATAATTATAATTCCGAATTATCGTTTTTTTTTTGGTGTAACAACTGTTGCCTATACTTGGCTCCTCTAAAGTCTTGTCAATACTAGTATCTATTTGATTTTACCTAATGAAGTAGTGTGTAATTCATAAAATACCTATAACAAAATCGGAAAGAGGATTTTGTTTTTTATGAAAAAAATTGTTAATATTTATATTTGTATAACATTACATTAAAGTATATTTTGTTAAAATTGATTATATAAAAATCATTATTAGTGATCAAACCAATACAATAACCAGTAAAACAGTAAATGACTCTTAATCAACTTAAATAACTTGTTTATCTAGAATCGATTTAGTCGAATTAATTTTTAAAACATTAATTTTGGATATTTTTCTTTTATCACATAACATTGATTACAACATAAAATATAAACATTGTGTTATTATGTTTTTTTTTAAATATACCATAACTATAGTATAATAAAGTAATTTATGTATGGACAAATATTACTAACTTGTTATGCTCATATAGTTTTAATTATGTTTAATAGTTAAAAATATATCATTGATAAATAATTAAAATTAAAAAATTATCCGGAACGTCACTTGTTAAAAAAATTACATTACTTATAATACCTAACTTAATTTATGAACATTGTGTTATTGATTTAGAATTTAAATATATTGAGCAGCCGACAATTTAATCATATCCACAAAATGCAAAAACGTTTCATATTTGAACGGGAAACAATACCTTTTTAATTCGTTTAAATAGAATTTGAAATAATAACTCCAAAGCCATTTGCCCATTTGTAAATGTCCAACCGGAAACAGCGCGACTATCAATTCGGATTCCATTTTAACGCGTTTTATATCATTCTCGCTATTAAGAAACGGTTCTCCGTTTTTTAACATTTCAGCAAAGTTCTTCAACCGCAACATGTTTAATTGTGCAATCACACAAAAGCTGCATATGATGTCCCGACCTTTTTTCTCTAATTTATCCCAGCTTTTTAATTTTAAAATGTATTCTTCAATACTGCCACAAGTATTTGTTGACAGATTTTTCTCGTCTGCGGGTGTAATAACTATTTTTGGACGTTTATTGAATGTTTTCACATTATTTATGGCACGTAAAAAGTTTTCACGAGTTCTTGGAATAAAAAACCGTGTAGGATAAATCTAAAATAAGTTATTTGTATAGTTATAAAAAAAGTCTCTTTAAAATAAAAACACATTGTATAATTGTTGTTAAACCATTCTAAAATAAAAATGTAACTTGGTCAATGATTATTTTGATTCAAAATGAAGTAAACTAAATTTCAATATGTAGCTGTAGTTTTACTTTATTTTGATATTATTGACTGACTAAATTAACAAAAACTTCTCATTTGTTCAAACAAATATTCTTAGTTATTGTGTGTATTTTAATAAAATAACATACATAACGTATATTTTTATACTTATTGGACGTTTTCTATCGCAATAAAACATCTCAATGGATGTACATAGTAACCTAGTAATAACATAGTAAATTTTTTAATTTTTTAGAGGCTTTATTTTATTATACAAATTTTCAAATGAAATAATAATTTTTATATTTTTTTAAACGCAAAATGTAATATCGAAATAAGACCACAGAAAGTCTTCAGTTTAAAATTAATGCTTACCTTGCTGTTATTTGCTGGTTCGATTGTTTTTTAATTTTAACGTTATAGTAAAACAACATAAATAAAATGCACAAATGTTGCTAATCATTGTTATTTATTTACTTTTTAATTATTCTTTAGTAAAATACAAGTCATTCGTATAATATTGTGTAACTTATACTGAACTATTATAATAGCAAGACGTCAGGCGGCTGCTAAATTTTACATTGTGTTTAATTGCAAAAAAAGCATAAATCAATAATTTTATTTTTCAGTTTTATTCGACAACACTTGTTCATACAAATTGCAACGGTTTTTGATATTATATTATTGTTTAAGTTGATTTATAAACATTGTGTTTTTAATTTAACATTCAAATAACAGCGGACGATATAGAATTTTTTTTAGAGCTCCGTATTCATTTTTTTTTTCAGTATAGGTGTTCTTAACTATGCAGACAGGGTGAACATTTAATTTACATAATCTTCAAATGATTTTTTTTCAATGAGTGAACGCTATTTTGTTGGTATTTTAGACCAAAATCCGACAAAATTTGCCCATTTATTATGGTAAAATTTCTATTCTGTAAAGTCATTTGAGTTCTTTGACTACTCTTTACTCGGCTGTGTAGGGGTTTCAATTAAAAAACTCATTTTTTTAAACTCAAATATAATTTTAAAAATGTCTACATTACAAAAAAATATTTTACTTAAATAAAGCAATACATCAAAAGTCAGTGTGTATAATTTTACAGATCTGAAATCGGACCATCCTGAGTAGTCGAAAATGTTGTCAGACTTTTTAAAGATATCGAGCAGCCGACAATTTGACTACATCAACAAAATGTAAAAGCGTTTTATATTCGTATGGCGAGCAGTAGCTTTTTAATGAGTTCAAATAGAAGTGGAAATCCATAATGATTATCTTTATCAATCTGCTGGTAGACAGTTGGACTTCGTCGACGTCGAAACTGAGCCAATCGATTTCGGTGGTTTTTGTACCGTTTAAATCGTCCAGGAGCTCATTGGCTTTTGCCGTCACTCTTGCTAAAATGTCTTTTATGTCGTCAACGTCGCGTGTTTTTGCCAACCGGAGTTCTGATAAAATAACTACAAGAAATTCATCTTTGATCGATAAATCCACTGTTTCGTTGATAACGTCGTGAACAAGATCTTTGATTTCTTCTAGCGTCGGTTCGTCGAGCAGGGACGATTGTTTTTCATAAACATAAAGTATAACCCAAATGTAGCAATACAATCTGGCGTCGATAATTTTGATCAACAAGTGTTGATGATCCAGCCGACCGTACGGATTGTGAATCCAAGTGCGATTTTCCACGAATGCTCTGGTAATGCCCATCTCCTTCCGGTGTCGTTGTCTCACCCTACTCCAATCGACATCGAACCCCTGGGTTATTCCTCTGAACAACAGTTGTCTTTGGTCTTCCCAAAATGGTTTCAGGTATAAAACGTCTAACAGTGCATCGTAATTACGGTCAAGGGAAAAGTCTTTAAACCATTTGGAATCGCGTAGGTCGGTAAACAGCTTATCGCTTATACTCGTGTTTTTTGTAACAAAATCCGGTTCAACTGCAGCCGGAGGTAGGTATTTTTCTTGCACACAATTGCCAATGAAATCCGAAACACCTGCTTGCAGTTGATCGTCTTCGAAAGGGTTCTCGTGGATATAGTGTTTATTGTCGTCGTATTGTCTGATGGCGATCAATTTCAAAAAATAACTCCAAAGCCATTTGCCCGTTTGTAGATTCTCCACCGGATATAGTGCAACTATTAATTCGGCTTCCTGTTTAAAATGTTTTATTTTAACACTTTCGTTACTAATGAAAGTTTCTCCGCTTATTAACTCTTCGACTATGTTCTTCAAGCACATTATGTTGGATTGTACAATTACACAAAAACTACACATGACGTCCCGACCTTTTTTCTCTAACTTATCGCGGCTTTTCAATTTTAAACGGTATTCATTAATGCTGTCGCAATCTGTTGTTGACAGTTTTTTCTCGTCTGTGGGTGTAATAACTATTTTTGGACGTTTGTTGAAAGTTTTTAAATTATTTACGGCACGTAAATAATTTTTATGAGTCGATTGGATGATAAATCGCGTAGGATTAATCTAAAAAAAAAAATACTTAAATTTATATAGCTATCAAAGTATAATTTTTAAAAATAATCCAAATCGGAGCTTTCGGTTTAAACGGCTAATAATTGTTAGTATACTATTTAAAAGCAAAAATGTAATTTGGTCGTCCTCGAAACAAGCTATGGTTTATTCAATGACTATTTTGCTTCAAAATATAATAAACTTATATCCAGTACGATAGTAGCTGTTAAATATAATTTATATTGTTTTAATTGTCTAAAAATATATTATTATGGTTAAGTTAACAGATACTTATCATTTGTCCATACATATTCTTAGCTGTAGTTGTAATTTAACAAAATATCATATATAAAGTATAATATTATACATAGCAGAAGCTTCCAATTATTATAAAACATTTTAACGGTTGTAATAATTTTTATATGGTTCAACTTGTGTAAACCGCAAAATATAACATTCAAATTACTTCACAAAAAAATGATAGCTCAAAATCAATGCTTACCTTGCTGTTGCCTGCTGATTCGATTTCTTTTATACTTGACGTTATAGCGAAACAACATAACAATAATGCACAAATGTTGCCTATCATAGTTATTTATTATGTTCTCAATTATACCACCTTAAATAAAATTCAAGTAATTTGTATGATATGGGGTGACTTATGTAGTATAAGTCAAAGTAAACTGTTATACTCGCAAGACGTTAGACGGCCGCTTTATTGTACATAGTATAGAATTAATTAAAAGCATAAGTAAATAATTACAGTTTTTAATTGAATTCGACAACACTTGTTCTCACAAATGGGTTTTTTTTTTGGTCTGCTGACGTATGTTGATTATATACTATACTCTGCCTACATAATTTTTTTTTACAAATTTCTACGATTTAACTTATTAGAAAAAAGTAATAACAAATCCGTCATTTTATGTCAAGAAATATGTACGTATTTATTTATATTGCATATATTAACTTAATAATCGAATGGTTTGAATTATGATAAGTCAATAATACTTTACACGTTTATTGTAGTATTATGCACACAGATGTATCAATATTTATTTTTCAATTGCCAGATGATATTGGTATAACTTGTTAGCAGTTTGTCTTGTGAATATATTTTTATAGTGTCAGTTTTATGTTTTATGACATGATTTTTATCTGTGATAAAATTTAATATGGTAGCAATGTAACAACGCAAAAGTTTGTCGTCATAAAAACGTTACGCTGTTATCTGATGAGAGATCGGAGATGGGGGGTAAGAGATAAGATATGAGGGATGGGGTTGGGGTTGGGGTGGGATTTAGCTCTGGCACAGAACCGAAAAAAGTGTTACCGAAAAAGCGTAACGCTGTTATTTTAAATTATGTGTTGCGTTCACATCGATCAAATTGTAACTGAAAAATAATTTTTTGGTAACACTTTTTTCGGTTATGTACCAGAGCTAATTCCCACCCACACTAAAACTGTGGGGGGGGGGGGTACAGACATAATTGAGAATGTTCAGTTCAATTTTTTTAAATTATAAGTTATAAATTAAACACGCCTATTTCTAATGATTTGCAAATCTCCCACTTGGGATTCACGTCTTGTGAATTAAAGAGAAATGTTGCTAACATCATGTTGTTGTTCAGTGGCGTAACTTGAACATTTTGGTTCTGGTACACATTTTCACTGTGCGTATAAAATATGTATACAGGGTGATTCTTTTGTCAAGAACCAGTCAATATCTCACCGGGTTTAATTATTACTAATTGATTTTTTTTTCTTCCTAACTTACACGATTCGTTTACCATATGTATAAACTTAAGCAAATTAAATTAAAAAACGCGTTGCCGGCTAAATAATTCCTAAAAAAAAAAATCGATATATACCTGGGTTACCGTGGATAAATGTTATTACCTCGTGTTCTGTCGTACAGATAGCATTTTTTGTTTCACTGAATTTAATAATTGTAATATTGTTAACTATCAAACCTGCATTCATTCAAAATGGAAGGAGCATACCCTTATTATTATTGGGTACGTATATATATATATATATATATTATAAGATTTTATCATGAACGTTTGTTAAGAGCTTAGCACGTCCATGGCAGTTGTATGATGTTCCCTGGCCTTGTCGTTCACCCTGGAGAGACCGCCCGTGACCGACTACTAGTAGGGCTGAGCGCTCACGGCGAGCCGTGTCAGGTTGCAGGACTTAAGTTAAAGTCGTCCTTGGGGGTGGATCCCCTGTCCAAGTTAGGGTTATCGCGCGCTAAGTCTCAGTAGATGGCTGAACACACTGTGATTCCAATGCGGTGTCCCATAACCTTCTCTCTACCCTAGCGGCTGAGTAATTAGCGAAAAACATTCATTTTTCTAATTTCAATTTAGAAATGTTGAGATTTTTGCAGTGTGTTTTTTGCCGCATAGCGGTATTTTGTTCATCCCGGGGCCGTTAATCTGTCTGGATTGGTCCAGGACCTATATGCAACGGGTTCGACCCCCCAAGAGCAAAGGAAACAGGAGAAATTTAGGGGAAACGATGTTGAACATAATTAGTGTATAATGAGATATTGAGCGGTTCACGATAAAATGATCACTCTGTACAAGATACATAATATTATAACTAATCTTAGTGTTCAGACGAATATTCAGCATGCAGTTTGTAGGACAATGATCAGAACGGCGGGAGGGAGGGGGGTTATTGCACACTGTAAAAAAAATCGGAAAAATATTCAACTACCTCTCCGAAAAACCGAAACATTGTAACACAATGTTTACACCCCAGACCAAAATTAGTGTGGGGCCCCCTCCCCTCCTCAGACCAAAATTGGAAATTTTTAAGTTGCTGCGTGTAAATTAACAACAGTCAATTTTTAGTTGCAATAAACCGTATAGAACAGTAATGTATTTTAAACAACATTTTGATTTTTGGGGGGTCTCCATTTCTTTTTTTGTATTACCTGGTGTCCGTAATTTCTATGTTCTTATTTTTCGTAAAGACGGTGTTTTTTACTCTCAATCTAAGCCACCCCCCTCATTCAATGCCGACCACTAAAAACGTATTTATCTAACATAAATATTTGAAAAATGAATTTGTCAAACGTTCTAAGTGCCAAAGTATAAAAATTGAACTTTATAATTTAAATTGCATTTTATCCATTACCGAATTGTATTACTCACAATATATTTCAATTATGATTTCGTATTCTTTTTTTTTTTTTTTTTTATAACAAAGCTAAATTCCGCAACAGTGTCGGCGGTGACCACTATAATTTTCGGGATAACAACAGATAATCTAAGCTTATCTAATTATATTATTTGTAAATATTGTAGAAATATGACTTTACTTGGGAAATACTGTATTTTTGTTGCACAGAGAAGCCACATTTTCATTTTTCCTATTGTGTTGTGTGTTTTATAGATAAAAATTATTATACAAAATTTACATATGTACACATTGTTTTTTTATGAAATAGTGTTAGATTTATATATAATTATTATTTAATGAAATAAATCATAGAATATTATATATGACCCGTCCAGCACTTAAATAATTAATTTATTTATTAAATAATTAAAGAATTTTTATAAACATGTTTTCAATTATTAATTTTGGATTTATAAATGAATTACCAGAAAGCTGAAATGTTTTACATAAAATACTGATTTTTAATGATTTTGTTTGGTGACCTATAATACTATAAAAAAAAAAACAGTAAAAAAGAAAAAAAACTAAAATATTCATTACGACCATGGCCAATATAGGCTAAGCAAATTTGGAAACGCGTATTTTATTGTAACAGACGTGCAAAATAAGTATGCTCCAATATAAATGTTAATAAGTAAGTACGCTGGTACGAGGTACCAAGTTTATTCTGATATCTGAGAAAATTATTTATACGCTAAAAAAAAGTAATTAAGTTATCAGAATGATTCAAACTATGATGGGTATTGTATTTTCTACTCTGTCCATTGTTATATAAATGTTAACGAACAGTAGCTATAAAAAAGATTACCTGCGACGTCCTCTTAAGTCTACAAAAGTTCATGAAGTTTATTCGAGGTTTATGATCCAATACGATTTTAGTTAATAAAACCTATTTGGTAATGTGTTCAATTACACACAAAAGATAATATATTTTTTTGAATTTCTCGTACACCCAAACGATACATTTGTGTTTTAATGAAATAAAACCGTAGTAAACTTAAGCAAGTATACATAAACTATAATATCATGCTATTTTGGACTTACAAGAAATAGGCTTGGAGCATAAGCTATACTGTTACTAAATGAACACCATTAAGATGAAAATTAACTTTAAACCTTTTTTACAACAATTAATCAAAAATGAAGTTGTACTTGATACATACTATAAGTTATTTTTATACAATTTCGTTTATAAAATATAATTACACCGTTGCAGGTGGTTATGGATTCGCAGGCATACGTGCCATACGTCCCATATGCGTCGTACTGGCAGCCGGTAAGTACACTGCATATGACCTATGTGCACAAACGGTCATACTATCACAAATCAGACTAATGGTCTATAAGTGAAAATTTGTTTACTGAAATCGTTTTTTTCTGTTGTAGAACCCCCTGCCATTTTTTGCCACTCCGCTTACATCGCCGGTGGAGTCAGATACACCCGAAACATCGTCGTCGGTGGTAGATATTTCGATGACGCCACCAGCGGTGGTATTGAGGGAATCGTCGTGCCAGGCCACGGCCACTGCGCAGGCGTGGACGCAGGCCACCGCGACTGCGCAGGCGTCATCCCAGGCCACGGAAACGGCAGAGAAGCGGTCTCAGACCATGCCAACTGCAGATGCATCGACTCAGTCTTGTCGGTCCATGACAACGCAAACAGAAGGCTCGACGGCATCCTCTGCCCAACTGTCAGCAACGGCAAGTCAGGGAGTTACGGCTGGAGCTGCGGATACGACGGCACCCTCTGCCCAAATGACTAAGGCTGCCTCGTCGGCAACGGCGCGTCAAGAAGTAACGGCTGGAGCTACGGGCACGACGTTACCCCCTGCTCAACTGACCATGGCTGGATCGCCAAACACGGCAAGTCAGAAAGTTACGGCTAGAGCTACGGGCACGACGTTACCCCCTGCTCAACTGACCAAGGCTAGATCGCCGACCACGGCAAGTCAGAAAGTTACGGCTAGAGCTGCGGGCTCGACGTTACCCCCTGCTCAACTGACCAATGCTGGATCGCCGACCACGGCAAGTCAGAAAGTTACGGCTAGAGCTACGGGCACGACGTTACCCCCTGCTCAACTGACCAAGGCTAGATCGCCGACCACAGCAAGTCAGAAAGTTACGGCTAGAGCTGCGGGCTCGACGTTACCCCCTGCTCAACTGACCATGGCTGGATCGCCGAACACGGCAAGTCAGAAAGTTACGGCTAGAGCTACGGGCACGACGTTACCCCCTGCTCAACTGACCAAGGCTAGATCGCCGACCACGGCAAGTCAGAAAGTTACGGCTAGAGCTACGGGCACGACGTTACCCCCTGCTCAACTGACCAAGGCTAGATCGCCGACCACAGCAAGTCAGAAAGTTACGGCTAGAGCTGCGGGCTTGACGTTACCCCCTGCCCAACAGACCAAGGCTGGTCTGCCGACCACGGCACGTCAGAAAGTTACGGCTAGAGCTGCGGGCTCGACGGCACCCCTTGCCCAACAAACCAAGGCTGGTTTGCCGACCACGGCGCGTCAGAAAGTTACGGCTAGAGCTGCGGGCTCGATGGCACCCCTTGCCCAACAGACCAAGGCTGGTTTGCTGCCGACCACGGCACGACAGAAAGTTACGGCTGGAGCTGCGGGCTCGACGGCACCTCCTGCCCAACTGTTGGCAACGGCAAGTCAGGGAGTTACGGCTGGAGCTGCGGGTACGACGGCACCCTCTGCCCAAATGACCAAGGCTGCCTCGTCGGCAACGGCGCGTCAGGAAGTTACGGCTGGAGCTGCGGGCACGACGTTACCCCCTGCCCAACAGACCAAGGCTGGATCGCCGACTACGGTAAATCAGAAAGTTACGGCTAGAGCTGCGGGCTCGACGGCACCCCTTGCCCAACAGACGAAGGCTGCCACGTCGACCACGGCGCGTCAGGCGATAACGGCTGAAGCAGGCGTAAGTGTTATTCCTTTTTTTTATAGCAATTCTAGCTTATTATTTGTCCTTATCCTCCACTCATTGCTTTTGTTATCTTTCATCGGTCCATAAATCTTCCTTAGAACTTATTCCTCTCTCCCATACTATCATCTTTCTTTCATCTTCGTCTTTTCGTAGTGGCTACATTTCCACTCCGTAGGTTACAACTGGACGCAGTAATGTCGTATATAGCTGTATCTTAAGCTCCCTCGATAAAGATATATATCCTAGCAGTTTTGCTAGTCCATAGAAAGATCTATTGCTGGCAAGTAACCTTGCTGAAATTTCCTTGACTATCTCATTCCTTCCAGATATAAATGACCCTAAGTATTTAAACTGCTTGGCTCTGCTGAAAACATAGTTTCTTACATTCAAGGATGGGTACACACCCGCAGTTTCTCATCTGCCAACGACCATGTACTCCGTTTTGGTTTCGTTTATCTGTAATCCTACTTTCGACGCCATTCTTTGTAGACGGTTGAACAGTGATTTCAAAGCATTAGGTGATTCTTCCATTAGTACTAAATCGTCCGCGTACGCCAATAGGCCTATTGCGGAGTCCTGTAGTTTCACTCCTTCGACGGGTCTAACGTTCATTGCTCTAATGATTTTATCTAACATTATATTAAATAACACCGGTGACATTGAGTCGCCCTGTCTCAAACCTGACTTTACTGATATTGGCTCCGTTTGACTACTTCCAACTTTGACTTTAATAAATGTCTCCATAATACTTATCTCCACTAACTTTATCAATTTTTGTGGGAAGTTAAATTCTCTCATAATGTTAATTTAACTCTTGACCATTGATTACGTTATCATATTATACGACGTTTTTATTATTTTTATACCACCTATGAAGTGGATATATTCATCGTCTGATGCTATTAAATGGCATTCTTACTTCTAATTTGACTGTGTTTTAGTAAAGGATAGGTTATATTTATTTTAACTTTATACTCGAGTTTTCGTTCAATTACCTGGACTAACTACACAGAACTTGAAAATTACTTTTTATGTCCACAGATGTCAAAAATGAAATACCCAAACGTATGTTTGCATGATTATTTTGTAACGTGCTCATGTCCGGACAAGTGGACGGTGTACCCGGTGAAAAAATAGACGTCCATACTGCCGGACAGGTAAAAATCTTAGCATAACCTCTCCGAACGGCGTCCCAGTTAAACCTCTTGTGATTGTTTACAGAATGCAAAACTATACAAAATAGCCAAAATGTTAGCGACAGATCCGACTTACGTCTTGTGATATCAAATACATAATTAACAATTAAAATGTAATATAATATTGAACATTCACTTATTATTAATAAAAGTATTAGTTAAATATAGAATTGCGTGTTTTAATGTCGTATTTGATCAGATAACTTTATTCAATTAAAGCTTAAGCACACATCATTTGTAGGTCAGTGTGCATTCGTTTGTGTGATTTAAGTTCAGAGTTAACAGAAAATTACTTCAAGCATACATCACGTATTTCGTATAGCTTTTATCTAATGTGTACTCGATTGTGTCTTGTTAGTTTGGAATTTTGAGAAAATGCTTTTAAGCACACACCACATTTGTGTGGCTTCTCACCAGTGTGTACTCTTTTGTGATTTCTCAGTTGTATTTTCTGAGAGAAAGCATTATTGTGATAATTAAAATTTGTAATCTAACAATAATGCATAAATATGCTAAAATAGTGAATTGAAACCTGAGAATTATTTAAATAAAATAAGGAACTTCGTTCCAAAAATTATTGACATAAAAATGTCGAATAATTATTAAACTTTTTTTTTTTTATCTTTTAACTAAAATAATTTTTTATTAATTTTACCCTCTAAACTACTCTTCAGATTTATTGTGTTTTTAAGTTCATTCCTTACCTCTGTAAACGAGAAATCACAGTAAAAATGTCTACGCTTAAATGAAAATCGGTTGTGTTTCCCACAAATGAATATATTGTGTAACGGGTTCTATCTGAAATAAAATTATAGAATATCTTTTGAACAATGTGGAGGTTTTTTAAAATCATTATCATACCACAATCTAGCACATACATTACACACAGTGGAACAGCATACACTACTACTAGTGGAAGTACTAGTAGATGCTACTTGAGAAGTTCTGAAAATAGATTTTTGGCGCTCGTTGAATTCATTTTGTCTCTCCGCGTTTGTTTTAGGCATAGCTAATGTTACAAAAATATGTTTAAGGTGAACGGAATCGAACTGCAGTTTATTTATTTTATATTACGGCCTACATATATAAATAAACCTAATTCTTTTTTAATTGTATTTAAATAGCAATGATATGTAGTTGTTAATTATTTAAATTTAATCACACAAAGAAATAACAAGAAAGAAAAGAGAGAAAAAACTAAAAAAACCGTTTTCGGATTATATCATTACCTATATCATCACTTCAGATTTATTCAAATTTCATTTATAATTTTTTATTAAAATATAATTACCTAATAATTTTTTGTTACGGTTTATAAAATGTACAATATACATATTATATTAAGTATATTACCTAATTCTAATTTTCTATTCTATTTTACTTATTTATTTTATTAATTTAATAAAATACATACTTGTACATTATAATTTTTTTTATATAATATAATAGTTATTTTATAATTTTTACATTTTAATAGTAATAAAATGATTAGATCAAACAACTTTAAACTTAACCCGTGTCTTGTTAGGCGATGACAATATATGAAAATATCATATATAAAGCTATAGCTTTCTTATCTGACGAAGTGAACTATTTTTTTTTACAGCCATGTGTTTTAAAGGAGATAATACAAAAATGGGGCTATACAATTAATTTCAAAGTCCCATTTTTTTTAAAAATTAAATTAAATGAAACTTTGTGATTTGTAAATAATAGATGGAAAGGATTACTATTAATTCGGTGATAAAGGACACAAATATGATTTTTTAAAAATCGACACTAAAACTTTTGCTTGGAAAATTATTTTATTCTATTTTGAAAGAACGGATTTTGCTTTTATCAATAAAATTGTTAACAATTATTTGTATAATTTGATATATTAAAGTAGTTGTTAAAATTTATTGCATAAAAATCATTATTAGTGTACAGTTAATCTAACCAATACAATAACCGAAAAAACAGTAAATGGCACTTAATCAATAAGGTAAAATAAGGTAAGTTAATTGACTTTAATTTTTATTCTGCAACACTTGTCTAAATAGCAAAGAAGTGAAATAATTATGGATATTTGCCATTACTGCACTACATCGGTCATTACTTGATATATGAACATTGTGTTATTAATATATTTTGATTATGTTTAATAAAATACTATAACTAAAAAAAAAAATAAGTATTTCATGTATAGTACAATAATTACAAAACTTATTATGCTCTCGATAAAATTATACGTCAATTGTTGAGATTTTTTTCATTTCAATATACAGCTAATTCAATTTAAGAACACCGTGTTAATGACTTTCAAATGTAGGCTTTTAATGAGCTTAAATACGAGTGAAAATCCGTATCAAATTATCCTTATCAATCCGTCAGTAGACAGCTGTTGGTCTTCGTCGACGTTGAAACTGAGCCATTCGATTCGGTTTTTGTTTGCACCGTTTAAATCGTTTGGGACTTCATTGGCCTTTGCCTTACTCCAATCGACATTGAACCCTTGGCTAATGGTCCCTCCTCTGAACAACAGCTGTCTTTGGTCTTCCCAAAACGGTTCAAGATGTAAAAACTCTATCATTCCATTGTAGTTACGGTCGAGTGGATGCGATGCAATCAATTTTCTAAACCATCTGGAACCCCTTAGATCGGTGAACATCTGAACGTATTTGCTCTCGGTTTTCCTCACAAAATCAGGTTCCATTACAGGCGGGGTAGGTATTTTTCAGCTATACAATTTCCGATGAAATGTGAAATGTCGGTTTGCAGTTGGTCGTCTTCGAAAGGGTTCTCGTGGATATAGAGATGATTGTCATCGTACCGTCTGATGGCGATGATTTTCAAAAAATAACCCCAAAGCCATTTGCCCATTTGTAAATTTCCGACCGGAAATAGAATAACTATCAATTCCGCTTCCGTTTTCACACGTCTTATAACATTCACGGTGTTAATGAAAGGTTCGCCGTTTTTTAACTTATCGCGGCTTTTTAATTTTGAACGGTATTCTTCAGCACTGCCAAAAGCATTTGTTGCCAGATTTACCTCGTCATTTTAATGTGATTTTTGCAATTTTTGGACGTTTTTTTTAATGTTTTCACATTGTTTAGGGCACGTAAATAGGTATAATAGTTTGGTGTAATATGAAATCGTGTAGGACAAATCTGGAATAATTTATACATTTTTATAATTAAAAAAAGTAACTCTAAAAATAAAATGCGTGTTACGAATGCAGTGAATGCACAGTGGATGTTTTATAGTATCAGTCAGATTATTATAACTACCATGTAATGTGTGAAGTATGAAACTATTGTGATTACATGCAGTTTTCTAATTTTCTGACGAGAAGTGAGCAGAGAACTATTTTTTTTTTTACAGCCATGTGTCTTAAATGAGATAATACAAAAATGGGGCTATACAATTAATTACAAAGTCCCATTTTTTTTAAAATTAAATTAAATGAAACTGTGTGATTTGTGAATAATAGATAGAAAGGATTACTATTAATTCGGTGATAAAGGACACAAATATGATTTTTTAAAAATCGACACTAAAACTTTTGCTTGGAAAATTATTCTATTCTATTTTGAAAGAATGGATTTTGCTTTGTTGAATAAAATTGATAACAATTATTTCTATAACAGTATATATTATTAAAGTGGTTGTTTAAAATATATTATGAGTGTCGCTTTAGTTAGCCAATTACTGAGATGTGATAATTGTGTTAGCCTGTCTTCTGTGTAGATGTGTGTGTATAATCTGCTCATAAAGTAAATATATATATATATATATATATATATATATATACATTTTTTTTGTTACAGGCTAAACATATTTTAGCTTCATTTTACAATGATGTGAGTTTTTTTGTTTTGTCTAAACGATAACTTGATTTTCTCCGGACCGATTTACTCGAGTAGCAACTCTATGGACCGAAATGTTTTGCGATTGGTACATTTGTAGGTTTAAAGTAAAAAAAGTCAACTTCTTCACCTACCAAATTGGGGAAAACCTCAAAAAAACTTACTGGGCGATTAGCTGATTCGATTGTTTTTATGTATGTCATTATAGCAAAACAACATAACAATAAATGCACGAATGTTGCTAATCACAGTTGTTGATTGTTATTTAATAGTAGTGTTTGTGTG